TATGGAAGATGGTGAATGACATAACGAAGTTTCAAAAAGTTGACCCTGAGACTATAAAGACCATGGTAAATTTTTCTGAGAAAGATTACGAGGAAATGGTCAGGAGTGAACATGAGGCAATTCGTACTTTGATCATTTGGTAGACTTGAAAAAGTAGAATTAGGTATGCTTGATGATCCGTTTTCTTGACAGCTTGGTGTATCTATAAAGGAATCATTATCATTTGTTACAAGTTCACTCATATTCATTGTAGCTATAAAATTTAATATACTGTAAAAGTGCAAATTGTACATATTAAATTATTCAATATTCGCTTAAATAAAATTTGAAAAATTTACGTAATTCCACAAATCTAAATGCATGTTTATATATAATAAAATGTAGAGTTTTTTTATTTACATATGTAATTCTATAATTCTAAATACGTATACATTTATACAGTATATAATAAAATGTAGAGTTTTTTATTTACGTATATAATTCTATAATTCTAAATACGTATATATTTATATATAATAAAATGTAAAGATTTTTGTTTACGTAATAGTGATAGTTTAAAGTTTATTTTATAAGTTTATTATTAACCGGTCTGAACTGAATAAAAGACTGGGAACCGAAAGACTACGGACTGGTCAAAAAGACCAGTCTTTGACCGGTTTTTGCAGGACCGATCCAACCCTAATATTAGACAACCCCTCCAACAAAAAATCTCTGGCACATGATAATCGACAGGAAACTAACCAATATCTAATGATAATTGATCTAACGTAGCATGATCAGGAAAATTTAAAGAAGCAAATGTTCATTTTGCCAAAAATCGTCCATAACTAAAAAATTTTCATAAGAAACCACCTTTAGCGCTCTAACAAAAAGCCCTTTCTTGGGCGATTTTACTACTATACCCTGCTAACACCTAACCCTAAAGTAAAGCTAACTCTAATATACCCCGAGATTTTTTGTTGGCTATGCTGGGGGATCTGAGATGCTAATACAGTCTGCCCTTGTTAATAACGTACTGACTGGGCTGAAAAATTTTATCTATTATAAGTCCATCATAATAATATATCCGCTATAATGTTATATGCTAAAAGATATACAGATCATATTTGTTTAAGATTTAAAAATTACGGGCAACTCAGTGCTAAACCGAAGCATGCTATACTATTTAACAACCTTAATTGAGATCTTAATATAAAATTTATTAAATAAAAATAGGAATCTATGTATACTAAATAAATAATTACATAATAATTTTTATAGTCACTACAAATATTTAATTATATATTTAGTGACTTTATAAAGGTAATCGGATATAGCCACCCCTTTTTATAGTCACTCGATTTCTGTATCTGTTCATTCAAATTTGGATGTTTTATATTATTATGCATCAACTTTATAACACAATTAACCATCAGTTCCAAATAATAAAGTTTGATACTTATATTTTATAATATATAATTTTCACCAGCGCCAAAAAAAAAAGATCGAGTTTTTTTTCCAATAAAAAAATTTTTCTAAAAAGGATTTTATATATATTTTATTATAAAATTGATCTTCGGGCGTCACTTTAGTGACTACTGTTCATTCAAATTTGGATGTTTTATATTATTATGCATCAACTTTATAACACAATTAGCCATCAGTTCCAAATGATAAAGTTAGTAAGATAGTATTATCAGTCTGTACAATAACTTCCAACGAGTAATTTTTGATTATTTGACAGTGGAAGTTCTTGATTCAAATTAAAATGAAATTTACCGATGTTAGAACATCTTAATTCTTATTAAATTAAATCGTTATCTTAGTAAACAATTGCCTTTTGATATTTGTTAAATAGTAAGATCAAACTTTTGCAATTTATCCGTTATAAAAGTTTAAACTGATCATATCAATATGATATATATCTTTTAAGGTATATGCATTTAAGAAAAAAAAAGACGCACAATATACATTAGCACAGTTCATGCTAGTAGACTGCACTTGCTTTGCTACGTGAAAATATAACTGTT